AATTTTATAATTCTTTATTAATAATAGAGATTCTAAATTTATATCGCTATTCTAGAAAATTATCTTCGAGTAATTTAATATAAATTCTTATATTTATTATTTATTATTTATTATTCGTAGATAGATAAATAATTTAAATATATAAATTAAATTATAGAAATAGTCTTTCGCTATTATATAGTAAAGAATATTATTTAATATTAAGTATTATTATTTATTAATATAATTTTTAATAACTTAATTAACTTTATTATCGAATTTATATCTAATAAAATAATTTATAAATTTTATATTAATAATAACTTTAATCTTTTTAAAAATTTATCTTTATAGAATTTTAAGAAATTATAGCTAATTAAGTATAAAGCTATTAATAAAGCTATAGCTTTCGCTAACGCTATAATTAAAGCTTATTATAATAATAAATATATATCTCTTAATTTCGAGAAAGACGATAAGATTTATCTTCGCTTATATTATAATTATAAAATCTTAAAAAAAAGAAATTAAAAACTTTATTAATAGCGTCTTAGCTCTTTTTAGATAATTCGTAAAGTTAATAATCTTACTTACGAATTTACTTTATTATCTATTATAAGAATTTATCTAATTATCTTAATTATTTAACTAGAATCTATATCTAATAGCGAGAATTTATATTAATATTCTCGATTTATAAATTTATCTTCTATTATTAACGAGAATAGACTATTAAATTTCTATAAATTTAAGAAAATTCTTAAGAAGTAAATAATTAATAATAAGTTATAGTATCTTCTTAAGTAGCTAGATTATAGCTTATAAGATAATATCTAATATAAACTCGAGAATCTAGATTTCGCTATAGACTTTATTAAATAATATAAAAGAATATATATAGAATTAATATTCTCTTAAGAAAAATATCGTAATATAATAGTTATAAAAGTATTATATTCTATAATAAAAAAATTACTTTTTTAGTAAATAATTTTCTAAGAAAAATGTTATAAGATAATAATTACGAAAGTATTAAAAGTATCTATAATAAAGAGTCTACTACTTTTCTAATAATAACTTTTCTAATAATTATTTTCTCGATAATTAATAAAAATAATATCTTAAGTCGTTACTCTATTAACTTCGAGAATTTAGAATTTCGATTTTAAAGATTTAATTAGATCTTATTCTAGAGCTATTAATAAATCTTATTAACTCGCGATTATATTATTATTCGCTATAATAGTATTAAGAAGAAACGAAAGAATCGCTATCTAGAAAAGTTCTTAAAGAAAGAAAATAGCGAGAGCGCTACCTTTTTTTCTTTTTTAATATCTTTTTTATATAAGAAATTTTTTAAAAAAATTATTACTTTATATAAGAAAGTTCTCGAAAGACGTAAATTTAAAAAGTTCTTATAATAATAGCGAGAGCGCTATCTTTCTTTCCTTTTTCTAATATCTAATATAAAATTTAACTTTACTTATAAGCTTAATAAGACTTAATATATTTATATATTAATAAGTAAATTCTCTTAGCTAGATAATTAATTTACTTATATATATAGCTTTATAATATACTTTTATATTAAGTATTAAGTTATATTAAGTTATATTAAATCTTAATATCTTCGATAATAGATATAGTTATAATTATAATATAAATTTAAGATTTTTAAGCTTAGCTCTATCTTATTCTATTATATATACTAATAAAATAAATAAAATAATATTAATAATAAGAAGTTTAAAGAAGAATTATTATTAGATATATTAATAGAGACTTTTTAAGAGAAGTTTTTAGAAGAATAAAAAGAAGTCTCTATTATTAATATTTTTAAATTATTATATTAAATAAAAAAAGCTTATAATTATAATAATAATATTTAAAAAATTATTTAATTAAAAGTATTTAAATAGAGAAAGCTATTATTTAAAATAATTAAAAATAATCTTAAATTAAGATTAGATAATTATTATTTTTATAATAAGTTACTATATATTAATAATAGATTATATATATTATATATTCTTAAATTATAGATTAAAATTATTAGAGATATTTATAATTCTTTATTCGAAGATTATATTAATAGATTATTAACTTATAATAGATTAAATTAATATTACTATTAATTAAGAATAACGAGTTTTATTACTCGCTATATTAAGAGCTACTATATTTATAAAAAGATTTAAAACTTATAAAAAGAATAAGTAAGATTTATTTAAATATCTTTCTATTTTCGAATAATACTAGTAAGATATTTCTATTAATCTTATTATATTATTATCTATTTATCTTAAATATAAACGCTTCTATTAATATATTATAATAATTATAAATAAATTTAATAAGAAGAAGTTTATTTTTTTAAACTTCTTAGAAGTAAAGATAATAGTATAAGTCTTTATCGAATTTTTATAATAAGAGAACGAGTACTTATTTATTATTATCTTAAATCGAGATATCTAATTTATAATATATTTCTAAAGAAAATTATATAAAAGAATTATAATTAAACTTAAACTCTCTATTATATTTTATTTTAAAATTAATAAATAGATAGAGAATATTAATACTACTTTAAAATAATATTTTAGAATTTATATTAATTATATTTAAGATAATTAAGTAAATCTATTATTAATAGTAAAGTTTAAAACTAATTTCGATAAGAACTCTTTATCGAGTATATTACTATTTCTTCTTATTAAAGAATATATTTTATACTCGAGAATAGAATTTTTTTTACGATTAATTTACTAGTTAAAGAGTAAAAAGAGATATTAAATTAATTAATAAACTTCTTAAGAAGATAGATAATATAAGAAATTATTTAGAGAGTTAATTTAAATAATTATAAGCTTTATAAAAGAAATAAGCTAATCGCTATTAGCTTTTAATATTAAAAATAAAAAATAAAAATATAATTATACTTAATAAAAGAAATATTAAGATTATACGTCTTAGTAAACTATTAAATTATAAGAATTTCGAATTATTTAAAATTATTAAAACTTTAAATACTTTCGCTTATAAGTTAAAACTTCTAATTTTTATAAATAATATTTATTTTATCTTTTATTTTATTTATAACTATTATATCGTAATAATAATAATTTATTATTAAGATAAATTAAATTTTTATTATTATCTATCGATATTAATAAAAAAGATAAAATCTAAAATATTAAAGAAATAGTTTTATTTAAAATTAATAAATAGAAAAATAATTTCTTAACTAGTAAGAGAGAATATTTAATATATAAAATTAAGTATAAAGACTTTAAGAGTAAGAAAAATCTATTCTAATAATTATTTATAGATATAATAGAATATTCGAATCTAATAGCGAATTTTTATTATTATTATTTCGAGATCGCTAGCTCTTATTTATTATTTAAAAAATCTTTAAAATAATTTTCTTTATTAGTATTATTAATTTATAATAATTATATTAACTTATAAAAAGACTTTAAACTCGTAATAAAATATTAAATTAATATATCTAAGAATATTACTTCGTATATATCTAGATATATTTTTTATAAAATCGAAGTTTATTATATAATAATTATCGTTAAAGCTTTAAATTAAAAGAAGAAGATAATATTATAATTTTAATTATCTTATTTATATTATAATCTAATTAAAATTAATATATTAAAATCTTTTAATCTTTCTACTCTATTATAAAACTTATATTTATAATTATTTTATATAGATAATATTCTCTTTATACTATAACGAGTAAAGATTTATAAATTAAATTTATAATTATTTTTTTAATTAGAGCTATCGAGTAAGTAGATAAGTAATCTTTAATAAGCGAACTTTAATAAGCGATATCTAAATTTCTTATACTTTAATAATTATAGAACTAAATTTAATAATTCTTTTCTTTTCTAAAAGCTTATATTTCGTTTTATAATTATTAAAAAAAATCTTAAAATTTTAATAGAAAATAAAATAGTTATTTTAAAATTAAATAATATATATCTAATTAGAGCTATCTAACTATCGAGCGAGCTTTAATAAGCGATATTTAAATTTCTTATACTTTAATAATTATAAGACTAAATTTTAAGATTTTTAAAAATTTAAAAAGTATAAATAGCGTTTTAAAATTTAAAAAAAAATCTTAAATTTTTAATAGAAAATAAAAAAGTTATTCTATATATTAATAATATATATCTATTTTTTTAATAAGAGAGACGCGATAAGACGAGATTTTAATAGTTATAAATATTAATTTATTTATTTATAATAAGTTAGCCGATTTAATTAAAAAGCGTAAAGAATTTAAATTTATAATTAGCTATATATATAAATTTAAGATTTTTAAGCTTAGCTCTATCTTATTCTTTTATATATATTAATAAAAAGTTATTATATATATTATTAAGTTTTTAATATTTATAATATATCTTATATAGTTAATAATATTAACGATATTAAACGAATTAATTTTAATTTAATAAATATAATAATAGTATAAATTAACTTATATTAAATCTATAATTAAAAGTTCTAAATTATAGATATTTTAATTAATTAATCTCTATTTTAATTTTAATTAAAGATTACTTTAAAGTAATATTAATTAATTAAATATCTTAGCTTATTAAAAATAGATTTACTAAGATCTTAACGTTAAGTTATTTAAAATATTACTCGTATTATATACTTAACTCGCTTTTAGCGAGAAGTTAATAGATTAATCTCTCTTAGCTTTTAAAGAATTAATATTAACTACTCGATAAAATATTAAAGTCGATATTATTTAAAATTTACGAAGTATCTTAAGCGTTCTAACGAGGAGAATATTTAGCATGCTTATGAAGAGCTTTATCATATATTTTATTTATTCTCCATATATAAATTATAGTGTTGCTAACAAATTTCGACTTGCTCGTCTGAAAGTATGTCCGAGCAATATTGGATCAATGAAGGGGCAGCACTGACATCAACCTTCAGCCTCCTTATCCACCTGTTGTGATGAAATGTGATGCAACTGCTCAGGGCATGACAAGTGTTTCTCCAACATTCAATAACCCGAGCTCCTCTCCCCAAACTTTGCCATCCTTCTCGCACGCCTCTCTGAACCGCCTTGGGGGCTCCGTGACTTCCTCGAAGTACTGGCTGATTCCGCCTCTAACAGTTCCGTAGTGCATGCCAATGGATTTTCTGCTCTTCAAATCCTTGTGCAAGCAAAGGCTATCCTCAGGGTTGCAATGTATGGGAGACATCAAATGTCTAGGGGAGTAAAGTCCAATTGGTAACATGCTGAGATCGAAAGGGCCAAATACTTCCCCTATTTCCTTGAATGCCGGGCAAGATGGCCTGTCCAACTCTTTTGCTTCTTTGGGCACATACCGGTAGCCAGTGTCGCCAGCAAAAAAGACCTTTCTGGAGGTGCTAGCTTGAGTGGTTGCTGAAGAGTTGCTGAAAGCTCCAGCGTCCAAGACCCAGGAACACCAAAGTGTAGATGCCTGGTCCCATATACCTCTGCCGGAAAAGTGTTGGGAGGGCGTACAGGTCATAGTCACTGAGCCCATGCCTGGTACATCAACCTGGACGCCTTCCCACCAATCTAATTCGGTAACCTCGGCGCCACCAATGCCAAAGCCCCGAAGTCTAGAAGCGTTCCCTAGTGCTACCAAAAAATGCACATTCCCTTTCCTGCTTGCATAAATCTTCAAAAGGGTATCTGAATCCATGTGATCATAATGATCGTGAGAGATGACGACCAAATCGACATCAGGCAACTCATCAAGCGTGCAAGGGGTGGGAGTGTAGCGCTTCGGTCCAGCCCACGTCACTGGACTCGTCCTCTCGGAAAACACAGGATCGAACAGCACCCTCACTCCTCTTCCTGCACCTTCTGAAGCCGATGTTTCGACCAGGAAGCTTGCGTGGCCGATCCATGTGGCCTTCAGACCCTCTTTGCCTGCACCCCAGTCTGGCTTCTGGATAGCAACTAACTTGTCGCGCGATGGCACTGGCTTGAAGTCACGGTTGCGTTGAGATGTTATGAGGAGGTCAAGAGGTGAGTGCTTGTGAAAGGATGGCCATGGGTTGGTAAAGGAGGTAGGTGGGTTGCCAATGTGATGAGAGGGTTGAGAAGATTCTGCTTTTCGAGGCACCCTTGTAATGGTAATGGAAGTAGCGGAAGCCATAGCCATTATGCTTTGTGTTATGGAGCGGAGGAGATTGGTCAGTCGGTACTTTTAGTCTACCCCACCTCTGACTGCCAAGAAGTCGGCAGTCAGTCAACCGACTCTCGATAAACCGAAACCCTAACCCTACTTCCATCCATCTTCTGTAAGTCGACGGACTCGACTCGACTCGCAAGCTTCTGATCATAAACATACTTCGTAGACAATATGTTAAAAAGTACTAGTACATTCCTGTGTCTGATCTGAATCTGTGCGATGCATAGTTGCTGATGTTTTGTTCTAGCTCTACCTGCCTGACGATGGGTGCCAAACGCTCTTGGCTCATCCAAATTCTCACGAGGTCGATCTATCGAGCTCGTGATACGTAGTCTAGAACAACACTTGGAGTGTGTCGATTCTCGCTAATCTGGCTTGGTTTCCCTGGCGCTTGAAGTTTTCTAGAAAGTCCCGAGAGTCATGGTAACAACGGAACACCAGATGGGAGTACTCTTCCGTCGAGGCTGCGCCCGCCATCGCAACGGTGTGGCGCAGACAGTTGAATTAGTGCTCGAGTGTACTACGCCATAGCCACAGCCACATGGTACCAGTATGTTTGACGTTAGTGGTTGAAGACGACGAATCGCTCGCAGTGCGTACTGCATTAGCAATATACCGATTGCTTTGACTTCGACTAGAAAAGCCATGATGAGATGGTTCAGTTTCGATGAACGATCCCAGTTTAATTTAATTACAGACTCCTTATGTGACCCGTTTCGGCCATACCGCTGCTACTGTTATCATAGCCATTGGAAGGGAGTAGACAGCATAAGGTAGGAAGGGGTTTCTCATCTTGGCAGGATTGTCTCTCAGCTTAAGCTAAATTTTTTCTCTCGCGATTCTCCAGATATCGAGAGATCTACACAAAAGCCTCAGGTGGTGCAGCGACCTGATTGTTCGGCCTAGATCTCACGTCCCAGACTCTTTTCCTCGTCGCATCTCGGCTGAAGTTTTGAGCCCTGGCATCCATAAACGTGGAAGAGTCTAGCCCTCAACAGTCAGTGATTCAAAGGCTAGATTTCAAGTTCACCCACCTCAGCCATCTGGAGTCATATTCAGTGGCCGCATTTTGCTCGCCTGGGAAACTTCCAGCACAGGCTTCTCAATGTCGTCAGCGATGCAGTCTCCCAGGTGGGAATAGGCCGAGAATTGAAAGAGCACTCGGCAAAGCCTGCGAGAAAAGTAATTGCCCGGCAGACAATGCATAATGTAACTGCAGATTTGGAGAACGCTTCTAACGAGCTGATCACCGCGAGTGCGTAGCCTGTGGGTGGTTGGTGTCTGAACCTGAAATGCGTCTTAATCGTCCGATCAATCCCAGATGCCAATAAGTAAGAAACATATCGTATTGCACGAAGCCGTCAGCCTCTGAGCATCTGTCATTCGCATTGCGAACTTAATTCCCTTTCGTAGCCGGCAGGAGCCGATTTCAACAAAACCCGCCAGATCGGACAAAACAAACTCTTGGATCGCTCGGCAAGAACGAGAGATCTGTATGAACAAGGAATCGGCGAATCCTGGGTACAGAAACAGACTCGGCACCCAATTAGTTTAGACGAATCTAGTGCCGCTACCGATACGCAGCTCTCTCCTTCTTCGAGTCGTGATGCACGTTGCCGGATGAGCTCGAATCGCTCAACTGAGTTGAAGTGCATCTTTCCAACAGTGGTGACTAGGCACTGGAAATGCTAGCCTACAAGCGGTATGCGGCGCGAACTATGGTCAAGATTTGTTGAACTGACTTTCAGATCTGCCTGCCTTACAGATATCTGACATGAGTGACCAACGTGCCAACTTCCTCGATGGCTGAGGAAAGCGCAACGAAACTATGCGTGACTCCACCAAATACGCACGCTAATCCTCCGACTTTTTGTTCACTCCAGGTGTGTCTACCTATCTTCCCAACAGAGTGGTGGGCTGACAAGTGTGCAAAGGTGGCCTGGCCATGTCTGTGTTGATACGAACCAATCAGTGATGAAAAATTGGATTGGAGATTTTCCACCTGCCTTTTTGATGTTGCCGGTTCTCCATGCCAAGAGCGCCAAGAGCGCCAAGATGTCCGGCTGCGCTCGGGCCTTCGGGAAGCTCGGTACTTTATTTGTGTTTAAGAGTCTTGGCAGCCTCGCCGTCTCCGCCAACTTTTCAAAAAGGCAAATTTGTACGACAACTAACACAAACAGCGCATGCTTCAGCACAAAAATATTGCGAAGCGGATGCATCAGAGGAGAAAAAACTGATATGATCGTCAGCAGATCGGACAAGCCCGGGGTGGAAAATTCGCTCCTATGAGTCGAGTGTAGGTACTTGTACGTGGGGAAAGACGTGGGTGGAAACTCTGGCGAAAGATAAGATCCTGTTTATACGGCCGTATGCAGTCAGCCCGCTTCCCCGACTACTTCCTCCGTTCTGCACATTCTTAGCCTCTTCAATTCTCGATCGAGTGCTTATACGGTACGTAGGAATATGTGTACCTAGTTCCATGCAGGCTGTCAAGTGTCATGCAGCTCTCATGCGCACGAACGGGCCAGCAGATAACACTTGCCAACCGTTACGCGAGAATGCTACCTCGCTCGCCTGGCACATGCAGCCTGCCAGCCATCCGATGTATTAAGCACACGTCTACATACCTCCCTACGATGATCTCTCAGCTTGCAGATTTCACATTCATTACAGCGCTGCTCATTCCTACATACACAATCTCTTCTCGGCTTCATCGGCAGATAGCCTCGCGCAATGGTCTTTTCTCCGTAATCCTCCTCGGCTCTTTGCGGTAGTGCCAAGGGTAAAACCACTCTTGAACTGCGAAGTCCGCTCCTCTAGTCTTCCTCTCCCTTGCCAAGCACCGACGACATATGAACTACTCCTCACACCATTGGCAATATGGACAATTACGAGAAAGTCCGATCGTCTTCACAGTCTCCTCGGTCTCCGCTCTCGCCAGGTTCTTCCCGCTTTGATACTCGTCCCCAATGGCGACAAAATCGAGTTTGCTATGTCCTTGAAGGCCTTGGCACTTTGGTCGTGCTTCGCCTACGATCGTTGATTATCATTGCGCTGCTTCTCATCATAACGTCTGGTGTCCTCACCCTGAAACCAGTACGTCCTCCGAGCGACCGAGGCCATATATTGGTCCGTACCGGAAGCTTTGTCTAACTGATTCTCTCTCTCTAGTTGCCTTCTAAATACACCACCATTCCCGCCAACACCACCTGGGCCAGCAATGAAGCCTCTAAACCCTACAAACCGATCGCCCCACCAGACCACCCCCTTCACATCCTGATACCTGCAACAAAACAGGATATCAATCTGTGCAAACTCCTGTTCTCCGGCTCCATCCTCGGCTACCCCACTCCAGTCATCACAGGATGGGGAGAAGACTTGGACGAGAGTCAACGAAAGGGGATGACAGGGGGTGGAAGTCATCTACTGAAGATATCTCGAGTTCTCGAATACCTGGGCAACCTAGGGACGGAGCACGATCAGGACCTTGTATTGATGATGGATGGCTACGATATCTGGTTTCAGCTTCACAAAGATCTCCTCATAGAACGCTATTACCAGATCAACGCTGAAGCCAACAAACAAATCAAAAAGCGGATGGGCAGAGCTGCTAAGATCGCAGGCATACAGCAGACCATTATTTTCGGCGCCGGCAAACGGTGCTGGCCCAACGAGATTCACACAGTAGCGTGCTGGCCACTTCCACCATCACCTCTGCCCGACGACATGTTTGATGGCAATACCGACAATCCAGTCGGATCCCGCCCAAACCCATGGTCTACCACTCGCCAGAAATTTCTCAATTCGGGTCTCATCATGGGTCCTGTCGCTGATATGCGAGCCGTGTTCGCCCGCGCCGAAGAGATAGTGGAAAAGTTGGGTGACGACCCAGAACCGGACGACAACGGTAGCGAATGGAGCCAGAAGGTCTACCACAATAGCGACCAATCCGTCTTCAACATGATCTTTGGCGAGCAAGAATACCAGCGGGAGGTCATCCGAGTTCGTCACATCTCATGGCTCTTCAATCCCATCCAAAAGCTCCAGCAATTCTTCGGGAAAGACCTGTCAGATACCGACTGGGTCTTGGAGGGCACGCGGATCAGGAATATCCTGAACCCACCGTGGAAACACATGGAGGTAGAGCACCTCGATGGAAAGCCCCTTGAGTTCAGCATAGGCCTTGACTACTGGTCTGACATAACCTTCCAAACCGCAAATTCGGAGCGTAATGGCGGATGGATGAGCTACAACCAATCCCTCGAACCACAAGTCCAGCACTGGGATCGCTGGGACTGCAAGCCTCATCTGCGCCCTCTGCCTGCGGATGTGATGAGTTCGCAGCCACCCTTCTTCAATCAGGGAAACGACAACCGCGCTCTCTCAGTCAACGCAAGCTGGAATGATGTTCCCCTCTACACCCATTACTGTGACGGTGTTGTACCGGTCATGCTACATCACAACGGTGACAAAGCCTCGAGAAGCAACAGGTGGCATAAGATGTGGTACTACCCGTATGCGGAGGCTATGTTCCGAGCACAGGAACCGAGACAAGTGGAATCACTTGTGATGGGGAAGGTCGGCAAGGAGTCGGTGGGGCCGGGAAGTGCATTCAATGATAAGGGTGAAATTGTGGAGTTTGAGAAGGCTTGTCAAGGCTGGGACTTTCACTGAGGAGAGTGGCCCGAGATTTGTACCAGGATGATGTTACGTTGCTATTATGAGAGTTCTGGGGTGTGTAGACGTAGGTAATGATAGACGCATGTAATGACTTTCGATATATAATCAATCCCTACCACAACTCATACCAAGATACCATTGCCCATTGCCCCATTTCCTACGGAAGTCTGCACCGAAAGGTTTGAACAGCAAGATTTCGGCGCCCGAAGGGCGGCACTATCGAGCCCGGAAGTATCGCCCGAAATCCAGTCCGGGTGCTAGCTCAGGGGTCCCAGCTAAGGTACCTTACAGAGCGTTTACTAGCGTGCTGTCCAGGACTTTTGGCCCGATATGCCGTTGTTCCGTTTTGAAGCGGAGAATATTTCGCCGACGCAATCAGACATACCATGATACCATACAGACAGAGCCATACCAAGATACCGTTACCCTCTTTTTATAGCCAGTCAGAGCTGCACGCATGGAGCATATCGAGATGAGAGGCGGGGGACGGGAAGGCGGAATTACCGATTTAGCGTATTCAAAAACGTCTGGAATGCTTGGCACCGGAGATCTTTCACACCACACACCCAAATTCGTACTGTAGCATAGAAATCTCTCCGCAAAATCATTCAAATCAAGTAGCCACATCGCAAATAGTCGCGTTTAATCAATTTTGAAGCTATATAACCTCAGCTATATCTCCCAAACGCACCAATAACGCAGCAGCCACAGAACCGCCGCCGTCGCCGCCCCTCAGTCGCCGTCACAGTAAGAACTACCCCCCCATAACTACTGAAATAGCCTCTGCTTAAGAAGCTCAGAAACAGATAAATTGGGGGCTAAGTGTTAGCAGCAGCCCCTACGGGAGCCCTGCGACGGCCCTACGGGGGCCCTACGAAGGCCCTACGGGCCAAGTATTTAGGTCCAAATAGGGGTGTCTGACTGTCAAGCGCAGACACCCCCGGGACCAGGCTTTTTTAGCTGAGTTGCTAACACTGAGGAACATACCAAGACTTCAGTATAGCTTCATCTTTTCATTTGGGACCTATACTAACGATAGCAGTGTTATTGAATAATTTTGCGGAGAGATTTCTATGCATGCTACAGTACGAATTTGGGTGTGTGGTGTGAAAGATCTCCGGTGCCAAGCATTCCAGACGTTTTTGAATACGCTAAATGCGGCCCTTCTCTTTTGCACCTCGCAGCCTTTTTTGTCTAGGGTAATCTTACTGTTGTAGCCAGTAATCGACACGACTATGGTGCAATCAGGGGCTGGATTGTTTCAAAAAATTGTTTCAACAGCCGATCAACAAAAAGCATCTGTAAAATGACACGCGTATGCAGCACCAAAGTCATCCCCTGCATACTCGGAATCCACCATGAGACGAGGCTGCAAGGCTGATGGCATCATAATGATACCTAATCTCCCTTCTCACTTTTGTACGAAAATGTTCACAGATACCATGGTCAATCTTCTCCGCCCCTTGGCTAAATCGCCAAGAATAAGTCTGTTTGTTTTCGAAACGGCATGCAATCAGCGAGTTCGACGGCGTCGGTCGTGGTCTCTTCAGTCCTTGTGCCCTTCTCATCCGTCTCCGTAGCTCTGCGATTCAAAAGCCGGAAGAGCACAAAAGCTGGCCTAGGTCTGGACGATTACACCATTCTAGCAGTGAGGGTGAACTCCTTCAGTTCACGATTTGAGGAACTTGCTGTGCGGATACCAATATTTGGAAGATCGTCCAATATGCTGATGCAGCCGTGACGATATTCGGCGCTGTCGCAGGTGGCGACGGAGACTCGATAATACACCTCGTAGAGCATCCATCGGAAATGGCCAAATATGCAAAAGTGCTCTTCTTTCCGAACTGACTTCTTGTACGATGGCTGATATAATCTTTGGAAGATACATTACACGGGGCCTCTGGTTTTTGCCATCATTATAGCCCTGGTCAAAACATCAACACTGGTTCTCTACAAGCGGATTTTTGTCAGGACGCGCTTTCGACTCGCCTGCCACGTGATGATGGCATTGACGGTGGGCTGGCTTTTGACATCCATATTTGTGAGTACGTCGCCAGCAATGGGATTGGACCCATCCAACAAAGACATCAACCCATGGCGAGATGTTCGCATATAAACCTGTCTCAAAAGGTCCAAAAAATCCAGACGGCCCTTTTCTTATCAACTATACTGGATTTCTGTTCTCCATGACTGCGATCAACATAATACTGGATGCCATCGTCGTTTGCATGCCTCTGTCTGTGATACAAACTTTGCACATGTCCTCAGCCCGCAAAGCTCAGGTGTCTGGAATCTTTCTACTGGGCTTGTCGTAAGCTCTGTCGATTCTGCTATCCTTCATGCATATACTAACAGGGCCTCTCCAGCTGCATTGTTACCTCAGCGGTACGGGTTTACTATTTTGGAATCTTGAATGACGTAGCCAATGGACCGGAGACCGAAAGCCAGCGTAAGCCTCAGCTGATTTGGAAAAACAATAAGGCTGGCTCGAAACGCTCAGTCGACAAGTCCTTAAGGGCGACTGTCACTGTAACCATAAATTTTCTCATTGAAGCACAAACATCCACCAACACTGCATGTTTGCCGACCCTAGCACCACTATTCCACAGTAGCCGACACGCAGCATCCGAAGCCCGAACATGGCGGTCAATGCTATCTCTACGACCCAAAGTAAAGACAAAGTCGTCTATGGTTCACAGCACGGACGTTGAGCAGGCGGGTAAAGATAGTGGGCGCGCCTGGGAGCACTCAGTATCAGATTTAAGTCACGAGGAAACAGTGGCTGGTGACAGCAACGTGGAGCTGAAAGTGATGGACGTCGTGTAATATTCGCTGCATCGTATGATATATTGATCATGAGCATGACGTTGCTGGGCATATTTGAACGGGTAAGGCGCTGTAAGTAATGTTACTGCCCAACTACCGATTCACTAATCAATACATCTCAATACTCCGTCGATCAGTGACTACAAGCGTTGACCAGGGTAAAACGTGACTTCGGTGCACTGGCTGCTACCTCCGTTTTGGTTGAGTTCCAGAGAGTCTTCTGTGCCCACTGGTATCTTTGTCATTCCTCTTCTTCTTCTCTTGGCCCTTTTCTAAGCCTTCTTACCACCAATTCCAGCCTGAGTTTTTAGTCGGCCAACGCGGCCTTTCTCTCTTTGTGCTTCCGTACGAGATGCCCAATCGGTGACTGCTATCAACTCAACGTCAATTCTAGCCGTCGATCTCATAGTCTGATTCCAGAAGTTGCAGTGTTTGCTCGTGTTGGAAGTCGCTTTTCCTAAGCGCACGGCGCCTACACACGCTATCATCATTCCACACCAGCCTCGCTTGGTCTAAGCTTGTAAGTCACGCTTGACAGCATCTCGTGTGGTCTATGAAATACCTCACCCCCTATTTTGACCGATCATTTGGGAACAAAAGTTAGCGAGTCTGGCCAGGAAAAATGCTAATTGAGGCTAGAACAATTTTAAGCGAGCTGCAGCACCCTTAGTCCGGCTTACACGCATATGGCAGGACTCCATATCGACACCTAATACCTCACTCTCTGCACACATGACACCTCAGTCCCTGAGAAAGAGGCAAATTTCACGGGTGCGGGTTATATTACCCTCAAAGCGTCACAGGTATAAAGCAAGTGCCAATCTGCCGATAAAAAAAGGGAAGCATCACTCGTCCCAAGCACACCTTCCACGATGGTTTCCCTTCCCGACACCATCCATCTTGGCACCATTGTCATCCTCCTTCTCCTCCTCCCAGCCGTACAATCGACCGTCGTCCTCCCGAAACCAAGCGGCCCCTACAACACACGCATCACCACCGCAGAATTAGTCGACAAAACCCGCCTCGACCCCTTCGCTCCAAACCGCACCCAGCGAGCCATCATGGTCACCGTCTTTTACCCCATCACAAAACCCTCCGAATGCGACCCACTCCGCACCGTGAACTACATGCCCCTCGCCACCGCTCAATTCTGGGACCAAGAATTCTCCTCCTACGGCATCACAAACGCAACACTCGAGAACTTCCGATCAGCACCTGTCGCCCCGACGCCCCCATCTCGCCACCCAGCCACAACAACTCCCACCCCATCGTAATCTTCTCTCCCGGCATAGGCGTAAGCTGCCAACTGTACAGCGCGATCGCCGCCACGGTCGCGAGCACCGGCTACGTCGTCCTAACCATCGACCACCCCCACGACGCCTTCATCGTCGAATACCCGACCGGCCCCCCAACCTACGCCGCCAACATCAGCAGCGCTGCACAAACCTCCCTCGACCTCGCGACTCGCGCCTCCGACGTCTCGTTCCTCCTCGACCAACTCGGCGCCAACGATACCGTCCGTGACGTCATCCCCGGTGCAGGCCGCGGCCTCGACGTCCGCCGCGTCGCCATGTACGGGCACTCGTTCGGCGGGGCGACAGCCGCAGCGGCGATGCTTTCGGACCACCGCATCGCGGGCGGGCTGAACATGGACGGGACGTTCTACGGCGCCGTCGTCGAGCGGGGGCTGGATCGGCCGTTCATGCTCTTCAGCAATCCGAAAAGCATGCCGAACCAGACCTTCTACGGCGATGACTCGTGGGCGGAAACGTGGCCGCGGCTGCGGGGATGGCGACGGGAGCTCGCGCTGGCTGGAGCTGCCCACAATACGTTCTCCGACATCCCGCTGCTGACTAAATTGCTGGGACTGTCGCCGTTCAATGCGACGAGCGTGACCGGCTCCGCGCTTGGAACGATAGATGGGGCGCGAGGATTCGATGTGATCACGGCGTATGTGGTTGCGTTTTTGGACTTTGTGCTGAAAGGGGCGGAGTCGGAGCTTCTGCGGATGCCGAGCCCGCTCTATCACGAGGTGACCCTTGTGAGGTAGACGGCCTGGACGGCGTGCAGTCTGGATAACTGGCCAACCGTTCTTCAAGACAGGAGCAGTCGCGATAGAAGTTGTATGATTCTAAACCTTGTCCTTCGTGTTAACGTTGAGAATATTTGGAGGGGCTCCAACCACTACAACTCCCACTTCTTGTGACGTCCTACTTAGAACCAGCCTCATACTCCACTGCTATGACCCCAAGTAGCGTCGATAGCGCACCGCACCACCGCGGCATATCGGTGTCGAATACTCTCTGCATCGACCATCGTTTATGTTATTTCTCACAGCACTAATAGTTGATAGGGTTTGTCTAGCCAATAAGACTAGTGGGCCTTAGTCACAGTAGACATCAGGCTCTACACCAGTCATACATAACCAGTCATCCTTCTACCTCTAGACGTACCTCGTTGGCTCCTCTTATTTCTCTAACGGGACAAACAGGTACTCTCCGGGATTCAATCCCTCATGAACTGACAGTTGTCGTTGTACCATCACCTTGAAAATGTCGCACGTGACGGAGGTAGTAGGCCCATGGTCAAGGAGAATGACAGTCGCAGCAAGTCAACAAGTTGGTAATCATGTGATAGTTCGTCTCGTTGCTGGATATCTATGAGACTTGAACATCTCGAGTAACGCTACAAACTATGATTTCCTCGTAGAATGTCATATATCTCTCGGGTCTCAAACCCGCCGCCAATGCTCCCACGAGTATTCGCTCCTCCCGTGACCACCATCCTGCACTCGTCTCCGCCGCAAATGCACTCACTCCTTCCCGGTCAGGACGCTGTACTGTCCGCCAGCGCCAGCCCAAACCAACTTCTTGTCCTTGACAGCCTTGTTCTCGATGAGGGTCGCCAGCCCGACATCATCCGTACCTCCCAGGCCCAGCTGGCCGCTCACACCAAAACCCCAACTGTACGCTTTGCCTTCATGAGTCACCGCAACGCAGTGATCGGAACCCGCGGCGGCGTGGACAGCATTGATACCAGGTACCTGGGTCGCATTCTTGAGTATTCTTGGCTTCTTTTGCGCATCACGTATGATGTCGTGTTCAGCAAGGCTGTCAACGCTCAGGCCGAGGGCGTTTGTGTCAACACGACCCCACGTCAGGCATGCACCACCGTCTGTGACCGCGACACTGTGATGATTTCCACCACTGATGCTGGTGACTTTCCCGTGGCCTGTCAGACCATCGATCGACTGCGGACGCAGAATGTTGGCGAAGTCCTCTCCGTCGCGTTCATCAATGCCAGTTTGGCAGTAGTTGTTTGCTCCCCAGCCGTATACGGTGCCGTTTCGATGGATGGCGAATGAGTGGTCCGCACCAGCGCCAATGTCCATGACGTCTTTTGGCAAGCCAAAGGTTGCGGGGACAAGTCCACTCTGTTGGAAGCGAGCATTGATGCGACGGCCCAACTGGCATTGCTCACCAAATCCCCAGGCGAAAACGCAACCCTTGTGATCAAGGGCGAGTGCATGGTTACTTCCAGCAGCGATCTTCGTGATGTTTCGCAGGCCAGATATGAGGGTTGGTCGGTTCTGGACTGCCATGTCTGCAGAGAAATGTAAAGCGCCGTCGCTTGTCTGAGCATAAGTATTAGTAACTCGTTCAGGAAACGGGGAAGCAGAGTACTTTACCTTGAAGGTTCCCCAGCCATAAACCAGACCTTCCTCAGTAAGAGCAAAGGTTGCATTGTCACCAGCAGCAACTTGCGTGAACACTGTGTTGGCTGGGAAGCAGGAACTGTCGATTGCGGTTGGCGATGATTCTTTTGGGTTGAGCTCGCTCTCTGAATTGTCGCTATCTTGGTCGTGGTCTCCGCCGTCCATGTCCTTCCAGCCGCCGCCCCATTCCGTGTCTCTTCCCAAAGCACCGTGGTCATTGACTCCCCACGTAAGGATCTTGTTTTCGTTCGTGAGAGCTACACAATGCATGCCACCTGTTGCCATTTGGACAACCCCGACGAACGATGTAGAGAGGTTTGGGTTCAAACGAGGCCTCACAACATCATCGGTGGAGCATTTGGGCCCGAGTCCGAGTACGCCTGAATCGCCCGACCCGAAGACGTACACATTCAAGGTATCAGTGGCGCGATGGTTGAGAATCAGCTTGGGTTTTGGGGCGCGGGTTGTGGATTTAGATGCAGCTTTGGAGGAGTTGAACTTGCGCGACTTGGTGACCGCAGAAGAGGATCCCAGCTCCTCAGCCTTGCGCTTGCTTGTGCGAGTATTTTTGTTTTCTGAACCTGCAGTCTGAGATGCAAATGATGCTCTGGAAGCAGTTTTGGAAGCAGTGGTCGCTGTCTTCTTCGTGCCAGACAAGTTCTTTGGCGCAGCCATTTCGATGGTAATTGTTCTGGTGAGATTGATGTAGATTGTGCAGATGTGTGCAATGCTGTGAGAGTGTTTGAGACTTGCAGAGATATCTGTGCTTTGGAATTGAGTGGAAGTGAGGTTGATGTTAAAAGGTTGGGAGTAAAATGTGAAAGATCATGGTTAATATATGGTAATGGCGCACAAGACGTCGGGTGGAACAATAGACTCCCAGCCATCAGTAAGACAATAGCAAGGCAGCGGCAAGACAATAAGATAGGGGTTGAATGAAGTCAAGAATGTGTTAATAGCTATTCGTGAATAGACAAAGGGATTCTCACCAGACAAAGGCCGAACACTCACCGCTTGCTGTTGGCCCACTTATTTCTCGCAACAACGATGCCAGATATATGATATATATAGGAGTGTAAGAGTAACTTCAACATATCCCAAAGCTGAAATCAAATGCAAGATTGTTTTGACCAGTCTTGGCGCCTGCGGGCACCAAGGGAGCCCTAAAACACGGCAGTTCGGCTCTTAGACGGGATTTGCAGATCTTCTCCTCAGCGTCTCACCGGCTACTACAGTACGACTGCTCTCTCTCCTCTGAGGGAGTGTGTACACGAAGATACCATGTCTATAAATTCAACATAGCTGTCACCTATATTGCGAGTGATGCATACAGAGTCTCTTGACCATGGCGCCGCCCTGGCGCTCCTGTCTCCAAATCTCCAGCACTATTGAAGTCACACAACTCCTTCAGCACGAGCGTGAATGCTTCTATTTCCGAGGCCCAACGCATGACGACAAACTTGCTTTCTTCATGATGCACTTTAGACGGAACGACAAGAAAGTGTGAAGCAGAGAAGAGTCACATCATGTACAGTCGCCCGCGGCTTTTCGCCCTCTCTCTCCCACCGCCTACTTTCCCTTCATTTTCATACCTGGTACAACCCCCACCGTGCCAATTCTTCCGCAGGCACAATCGCCCACAACCCAAACAGTCCCTGCGCCCGCTCATGCACAGCCTGGACCTTGAAGCCGAAATCCATCTGATGCCCGGCCCGCATACCCGTCTGCGCCCGAACCCCTTCGTACGCATGGCACATTTCGTGCAGCGCCGTCGACCACATGTGCATCCACGGATCCCGGATCACGTCGCGAAGGAGAAGGTTGTGCGCGTGCAGCATGATGCTCATTTGGCCGACCCTGCCGGTTCCCACCGTCGCGCCCAAGGCGAAATCTTCGGGCTGCACGTGGGTGACAAAGGCGTCGGGCGTCCGCCATTGGAACTGGACGTTGTGATGGAGTGGCCGAGGAAGAATATCATGTCGAGATCGTGGAAGGCTTTGATTACGATGTCGGGACTCCAGAGACTGTCTTTCAATGCCGAGCGGAGACGCTGAATGGCCGCAAGTTCAGCAGATGATGGCTTTCGGCTCGGTTTGTTGTGATCCACGACTTCTTTCGTCGCTTGGGTTTGGCTTACGAAGGGTCCAAAATTGCGGTCAGAAAATGTGCTCATTGCATCGAGCTCTTCCTGGCTGACATCGTAAGGAGTTCCTCGATCGGCCTTGACTTTCAAGAAGGCTTCCCGATAGAGCTCCTTGCCGGACTTTGTCGGCATCCTGGATTTTATTTAAAGTTGGACTGGTGCGAGTCCTTTGCTGTACACTGCGGGTTGGTTTGTCGATGTTGGACCGGCTTGCAGTGATGAAGAGAACGAACGTTTCCACCGATAAAGACTTCTACAGTTATTTCGGAGATGTTTTAAGGCTTGTGTTTTCGACCCATGTATTGCTTTTGCTGTGCACAATGAAGCGCCCTTTGTACCTTGGGGAACAATGGTCATTATGCCATTGGATGGGGCTTTCGAAGCCACTCGGCTGGACAGGTAGTCCAGTCTCGTGATCCAGACGCGAGAAGGCTTCGCGGTACCTCCGGTACCATGCAAGATCCGCGGGTATAGTGTCAGGCGTGCAAGATACTTGAAATTTCATATTGACATTTTCGTCTTCTTTTCATAAGTATGATTGGTGCCGCGGGCTGCATACATAGTGATTATTCCGAAATATGATCTACCGTCTCCTTGTGAGTCTTTCCTATAGACTACTCTCGTCAGCCCTTTTGTGATACTACCTCGCTGACGCCTTTATTCGAATGGAAGCGGTCGAATGTTGACCTCAAAAGGCGGCAGACAGACTGATATCAGATCCACAGATCTCTCCTCGGTTCGATCTCGCCTCGGTATGATCTCCCTTAACCCTCCGAGGACTTCACCATCGAGCGACGTACGACATTAATTTCTCGGCGAAGAAGTCTCTCCGGAAGCGTGGGATCATCAAGCCAAGAGACTTGTTTGTGCTGCTATTCAAATTAGTATTGCCTGGATGCGCGCGAGAACATCTCTACTACTCGCCTAGTCTTTGTCTTTGTGGTAATTCTTATACACGTCACCTTGTGGCAATCCCCGGCGCCTACCCCATCTACCTATTTCGATGACCTTCGAGATTATTGTTGATGATAGCAACGGCAAGATTCTGCCCTTCCATCGTTAATGTAGCCTCGTTCTCGTTCCTGCTTCCAACAAACCACTAGGATGTTTTGATATTTGAGAAGACTGGTATAGACATGCCTGGAGGCGTTGCTCTTCACGCTGATGAGAAGGAGATGTCGCGATGGCTATGCGGCTGGGTCCCGCTCTGGACAGTACTCATTGTAAATTGCAAATAGTACATTTGTTCTTCATTCTATTCGCACCCGTTCTTAAAGCAGATATCACGAGATTTTCAAGTGCATACGCTACCAGTTTCTCACACTATTCTCCTTTCGTCCTTTTCTTCTCCCAAGTCGACCCACCCAACCCTGACCCCAGATCAACCAATTCAGAACCCCCAGCCATCGTCGCCGCAACCTCCTTAATACTCGCATTACTCAAGATAAACACCCCCGACACCTCAGCCTTCAACTCCCTCTTCGCCCACCCTCTGAGCTCGATCGCAACCAACGAGTCCAACCAAAGCGCGTGAATCACTTTATTCTCGTCCACACCACGGACATCCAGACCAGTCGACTAGACCAATTTTGCCATGAGCGCTGCTTTGACGACGGCCGTGGCATCATTCTTATTACTAGCTTCACGCAGACGTCTTTTTAGCTGTGACGCATCGCCGCCAGTAGCGCGGGCTTCCTTTATCTCTCTGGAGTCGACAGTGTTCAAGTACGAGAATTTGGCATCGTTCGTCCAGCCAAAATCATAGCGCCACTGCGCTCAATCATGCCTCCGGTCCCAACCCCCGTGATGGTTTGACTCGGAACGCTCGTCTCATCTCTACCATATACCTTCCGGGTAATAGCGGCCTCGAGCACGATGTGCAGCTCGTGTTCCCTCATGCCCTCGAACCTGGAGTTGCGCAGTTTGAACATATGTCTCCACTTTTCGGCGACAACGCCTATGTCACGCATTCAGCCTAGATCGATTGACGTCGCTGCTTGACCTCTTGCTCGGCGATGGAGTGCAAGCGCGTCTTGGTAAGCGGTGGCCGCAGCATAATTGGCTTGGCCGCAGTTGCCGGTGATGCCTACGAAAGAGGCGAGCATGATGAAGAATGCCATGTCATGCGGAAGGCAGGAGTGCAAGTTCCAGCTTCCCTGAACTTGGGGCGCTGTAACGGCTTGCCAGTCTTCGGCGATCGTGTTTTCGAATGTGGAGTCGTGAAGGTTCATCGCACATTGGATAACGCCGCGGATTGGAGGGAAAATAGAAGCGCAAGATGCAATAGTCTCTTCGATTTGACGAAGACTGCTGATGTCGCATTGATAAACGCCGGTCTTGATGCAAGCTGACTGAAGAACGTCGGACACTTGGGACCGCAGCAATTGAATCTGAATTCTAGGCAATGGAGCAGCTGCTTTGTGGGTATTCACGGTACAAGTCCCCCACCATGTGGCGCTAATCGAGAGTTCCATAGGTGAGCTCGAGATGAATTTTGGAGAATACGACTTTTTCTATCCAGACGGTGAAATAGACACCACACCCACGAGCGGTGAGTCAGACGAGGGCTTGTGATCATAAAACGGCTCAGTAAGTCGGAACATATGCTGAATCTTCGTATAACAGATGTTCGAAAGCTATACCCGCCTCCCTATCGATGCTTCTACGAGGCAAAGCCCAGCGTGTCGCAACTGCTTCGAGCCCACGAGTACCTTACCGAGGTTGTGGAGGAAGACGGCCCTTTTGAGAGTATATCGGGTTTTTCACAAAGCGCCGAAGTCGCTGCATCTCTCCTGCTCTACCAAGCGTGGGAAGTGCATTTCAATTTCGCTGTGTTCATTGGCGGTACAAAGTCATTCGATGTCTCTGCCCTCGCTTCTGGGAAAATCTCAAAGCCCGTCAAGATGTGTGCAGGCACACATTCTACGAGGATAAATGTTCCAACCGCCCATGTGATTGGGAGAAGCGACGCTTGTCGTAAATCCTCGAAAGCGTTCTTAGAGTTGTGCAATCGGCGGGAGGTCAAGGTGTGTGATCATAAAGGTGCACATGTTGTGCCGAGAGGACAGGAGGCAGTGGAGGACTTGACAGCTGCTCTCAATTGGGTGGTCGATCAAGCGATGTATCAGGTAAATAAGCGTATTGCGAGAGTTGAAGGGAGGGAGAGACTGAGTCTCAAAGAGGCGACAACCAGTCGTTTTGATCCATGCCAGGAGCTGCCAGTACTATAACCGTAATGAGGCAATTGCAACAATGGGGTCTCGAGTTCAATACTTACGAAGCTCAGTGTAGGATACCTCCTTCGGACGCCCACAAGCTTTGTTTTGTTTTGTTTTTGTGGCTCTATGATTCCCGCCTGTACCGAGATTTCCATGTGAAACACGACGTCAGAAAGCTGCATGAGATGTTCGAACGTAGCCGGCCTCTTTCCTACTGAGGTAAATTCGACCTAACTCACCAGGAGGTAGAATGGCTTTTTCTTTGGAGTATTGTATGTGGTCTTTGATGTTGTCTCACGCATTCATGAAGATTCCCAGATCGGTCAAAGTATATCGGAGCTGAGAAGGCCTAGCGGCATCATCTTCAGCCTGATTGGGAACTGTTACCTAACTCTCTGAAAGGCCAGTTTGGACCGACCTGCAGCGGCTCAACTCATGATGGCTCTCGATAGGTGTACCTCGTTACTACCTATTTGGATCTGTGAGAAGGGTGCTGCTTTCACTTGGCAGTTGGAGATAGTTGACTGCTACGGCAAACCATAAATGGCCCAGATGATGTTCATGGCGCCCTTTGAGCCATTCGTGACAAATGCATGCACGGGGTACCCGTCTGCGTTGGACAAACATGGCGCGGTTTCAGGGGCAAAGTTTGATGATATACGTGCCAATGGAAGATGCCAGATGGTCCGAGACCGCCCCGTCAGGTATACAGGAACGAACATAAAATTTTGGGCCACCACAAACGCAGTACTCTAGCATCTCCAGACTTTTGGAAACGCCAATCCCACTTCATGAGAGCAAATTCGGAGAGAGTGATGTTGGGAGGCAATGAAAAGTGGTAAGGATTGCGAACGGGTATGCGAGCAATTGGACCATTTAAGATAGGTAGCAGACTCTTGATATTGACACTATTCACCAAGCTGTACATCTTTTTCATCATTGCCAATAAGATGCGCAATACACCGCCGTACCAAGATACTTGCTATCAAGCCCAGCATACCTGCTTCGACAAGCCAGGCGCGACTTATGCTCCTTTGACAGCAAGTAAATCCTTCAAGTCCATATCCTTGGTTGTCTGCTCCCTCACAAAATCAGCCACCGGATTGACCAAATGGCTACGATCAGCTTCCATGCCACGTGCACACGGAAAGGTCTCTTCCAGTACGGCTTCCCCACCGCATCAACAATCGCCTTCGCAACATCCTCCGGGTCGAATCCTTCGGCTCGACAAGGATGGGTCCATCCAAGATGCGCTGGTGATAACCCTTGTACGCTCCTTCCTCGTACTCAGCATTGACCGCCTTGTCATCGGGCGTTGCAGCGTGGGCGAAATGGCTGGTCCCCTTCCTGTAAGCTCCTGGCACGATGATGGAGGTTTCGATGCCCCAGAGAGTCAGCTCGCCTGCATAGCAGACAGCAAGCGAATCCATGCCGGCCTTGGCTGCGAAATAGGGGCCAAGATAGGGCGGGACACCGCCTCGGGCGCTGCTTGAGCCGACCCAGACGAGCAAGCCTTTGCCCGCTTTGCGCATGTGAGGAAGCACAACGCGATTGAGACGGTGGGTCCCGACGCAGTTGACATCGTATTCGGACATTAGCTGCTCCGGGGTAAAAGCCTCGCTAGGTCCAAAGCTCATGTGGCCGGCATTATGGATCAAAACGTCGATTTTGCCCGCTTCTTTCAAGACTTTGTCGATGCCATTCGTAAGGGACTCTTCACTAATGACGTTCAAGGCCACAGGGCGCATGTCGACCTTTTCCTTTTCGACAAAGGATTCGATGCCTTGGACGGAGGCGTTGCTGGGGAAGGGATCACGCATGCCAGCGTATACTATATGACCGGCTTTAGCGAGGGCTTTGGCGGACATATTGCCGAAACCGCTGGAAGCACCAGTGACGACGATGACTTGAGACATCGTTGAGGAGTATTTTGAGATATAGATGCTGAATCGCTTCTTGGGCCGGAAGGTGTCAAGAGAAGATATTTGGGCAAAACAGTAGACTTCTTGGTTTGTAGACAGAGGAAAATAACAATCGACGCGGAAATGCCTTATCTTTTACAGACCGCAAACATTTTGCGGTGTGGATCCACCTCAAAGGAGATATTATGTAGAGGCCGTGTACGGTCCGAGGGTCCTCGAGGATACGAAGATGGCGGCGGCACGGCTCGACGGTTAGGCTTGATAGGGTAATTCATGATAGCTGACTTCGTATGTCCGCAGCCACGTGAGTAGGACCTTGTCAGAGCCCACTGTGTCATTCGCTCGGTTGATTGATCAGGAAGTGTGAAGAAAGAGAGTGGAGGTAAGGAGTATTCTCGGTGATACCGTTAATTGAAAACCTCAGTCGGACCGAATGAGCATCAATGTTGGAGTTCCGATGCCGGTGAATGTCTTGAAAACATCGTATTGTTAAAGCAAACCGGAAGAACTGTATCCGTGATAGCAAGGACGCATGATTACCTATTAGGACATTCATTTCTTCAAGGCTGCGACCAAAGGCGTTCTAGGTTGCTCCGAGACTTAATTTGGTAGGTTTTGAAGGCTTGCAGTCATTGCCGAGGGAGAGATCGAGAATACTTGGAGTCTCTTCATCATCGTCATCGATACAATTGGCGTTGTAGGAGAATCTAACAACCTAAAGTAAGATATATAGGCTTTTCGCTATGGGAGTATTACCAGACCGCTGAGGAACGCTCATCGAGGGGGCCATATTGCACTTATAGAACCATCGGGTAGGACTAACGTGGTGGCATTGTCGTGGAAGCTTTGAACCAATGATTCCTGGCAAGTACCTCTGTGGCAAGGCGTGTTTTGAGTGGGGCTTTCAGTCAGTCGACGTTCCCAGGCATGTAGAGAGGGCATTAAACCAAAGTCGAATGCATCACCAATGAAAATAATATATGTCAACATATCGCTCATTGCACTGGTAAGTCCGCAACCACTGGTGGATCTCCCCCAATTGGTGAATTTCCTCCTATCGGTGGATTTCCATCGACTGGTGAATCTCCTTCCAATAGCGGATTTCCTTCGACTGGCAGATTTGCTTCGACTGGTGGGTTCCCTGCGAATGGTGGATTCCCTTCGACAGGTGATTCCAATTCAACTACTTGATCACCTTCAACAGCTTGGGCTCCGTCCTGTAAAAGGGCTGCTTCTAGTGCTGGGTCCCCTTCCACCGCTCCATTATCCCCCATTGAGGGAAATCCTTCCGCTGCTGGGACTGCTTCAGCAGCTCTGACTTCCTCCGCTGCTGGAGCTCCATCCACCGCCAAGATATCATCCGCTGCTGGGCTATCTTCCACTTCGACATTCGCCTCTGCCTCAGCCGCCGCTTGATCTTCCGGGCGTTGAGGATGATCACTCTTCCAAGACCCCACGGACCAATGAAAAACCACAGCAGGCCAGTCTTTGGAATGGGCTCCCTCGACACCCTCACGTTCAGCTTCGGCAGTGCTCATTGCTCTGATGGGGAGGATGAGTATATCATCGATTAGCTTAGGCTCTTCCAGCATGGTTGCATCCTTGTGCGTAATCTTTTTGCCCGTCGCGCGTGATACATAGGCAAACAGCGCATTGGTGAACGCCCCCGGCCCAGTCGAGTCGATGACCTCCTTATACGAAAGCTTCATTGTTGCGAGGGTTCTATACTGCTTCCGGGCCATCTCGAGGAGGTTTCTCGCGACCGACTCAGCAACAAATCGCATAAACGGGTGACGGGCTGTGCACATGAAAGTCCAATTGTTGATACCCCAGATGTATTTCCGGTAGTCATAGTAAAGACTCGCATCGTTCTCCACGGGCATGCGGTCATTTTCTACGCCAATGACAACGCCGGTCTTGCCCTGGAAGGCTAGAGGGATCCACGTGTCGATGGGCTCCTGGCAAACTACGTCTAAATCTGCATAGACACCGCCTTCTGCCGCGAGGACAAGGTAGCGCATGAAGTCAGCTCGGAGGATTTTGTCTGTGAGGTTGAGGAAAGTATCTCGGATCAGAGGGTCATCCGCGAAATGATGGCGTACATAGCTCTCCGCGCCATGATCAGTGAGCAATTCGTATCGATAGTGAGGATTCTTCTCCTGCCATGTCCGGGCTCGCTCTCTTTCCTCTTCGTCTAGAAGAATGGCGGAAGTATGCCATGTCTGCCAGACCTTTTTGGGTATCTCCTGGCCAGCAAGGGTGGCAGACTTGGATGAAATTGCTTGAGACAGGGTATGAAAAGGGTCAGTGTTGCTAGGTGCAAAGTGATTGATGAGAAGAACTATCAATCCAACAACCGCCACACACTTAAGAAGAAAAGGTAGTCTTCCCCGAATCATATTGGAGGGATTCATGATGATGAAAAGAGGTCGCCTCCGCGGCGACGAGACAGGTGGAATGGTGCTGAATGTAGGAGTAGGCTAATGCAAGACAAAGATGCAGAGTGATGTCGAAGTAGGAAGGTCATGTTGAAGGAAGGCCAATTGAAAAGGCCTGAATAGCGTTGTGGGTAATGTCTAATGCAGGTTGGCCACGACCAAGCACGTCCGGGCGCTGAGGGCGTTTTCGATTGAGCATATTTTCCGGTTTTTTCTTATCAAGGCTTGCCAAGCCCGCCATGAATAATGCAGGTTTAACCGAGGAAACGCTCAAGTACATATCTTGCCACCTTGCAGAAAATAAAAAGCACCGCAACACCATTGTACGGAATCGAACCTAATACGAACTAAATACCCCCAACAACACGACCACAACCAACAGGTGTCCGCCCTCGGACTATGACTAACGGGAAACATTTCGCTTCATAAATCAATGCGTCGCATGGGATTCGAACCTAAGCCCTCGCCAACACCGTTCGACGGAACTTTGAAACCTGTGGCTAATGGCGCTGCCAGAAAATTACCCCCAACAACACGACCACAACCAACAGGTGTCCGCCCTCGGACTATGACTAACGGGGAACATTTCGCTTCACAAATCAATAAATGCGTCGCATGGGATTCGAACCTGAGCCCTTGCCAACACCGTTCGACGGAACTTTAAAACCTGTGGCTAATGGCAATTACCCCCAACAACACTTGCTGTACCGAGACCTCTGCTCTAGCGTCTTGAAGCTCCGACGGAAGGTTTTACCGATGTACCCACACTCGCTCGTACAGCTCCGACCATTGATCATTGACCAGCCTACTACCGCCTTGGTAAGATATGAGATCAAGAGAAAGCAGAACATTAGACATCATGTGAAAGTGCTGAAGGGCTTCTTCATGCATGCAAGCACATGAGCTGATCTAGCCGATAGCTTCCACAGCCTCATTAATCCTTCGTACAAGACTCAGCATGGCTCCCCATATCCTCGGCCTGCCCTAAGACTACCAGTGGAGATACTACGGTACCGGCCAGAAATTGACCTCAATACCGCACCCTGATCCAGTTCTCGACTCAGCGCAATTGGAGCCCCAATGCGACTCCATCGGGTGTATTTCGCGCCGCGCAAATTCGAGATGGAACGGTTCTCAAACACTACTCAACATCCCGTATGCAGCAAAAATGTCAAAGAGCTGGTCTACGATGGAAGGCTATTTCGTGAGGAATACAGGGAAGCAGAAGCTTTCAAACCAATGCTGTCTTGACAGGCGCATTCTACATGGAGTCATACCGATCTGGGCGGTCATCTGGGAAGTCATCTAGGAGGTTCATCGAAAGTCACTGTCTGGAGAGTGAATTGGAACACTACTCGACTTACGGTAAAGAGCATATACATATACTGGACAACAAGACGGATCATCATACTCTACATGCTATCTTACGGCATATGCCCATCAAACGCATTATTGTACAGGACTCCTTCTGCGATTGTTACCAGGCTCCCATCCACGCTACCGACCATTCATGATACGGGGAGATATGTGAGCTCCGTTTGCCTGCAATCTTACCTTCGAGCTGGGATGAGTTCCAGCTTCCGCTCGAGTGGGACAATCACGTTCCCGATGTTTTAACCCGGGACTGCCGAGGCCTTGCTCATCTCTTCCATGCCTTTTCGGGACATTGCCACAAGATTGATGAGTTGCATATTGGTACTTCATGCAAAATGCAAAGTTACTAAGAAACTGGTTTAGCAGTATAATCATCGATGAGCAACATTCACGTCGGATTTTCCAGGGCTGGCGGACTGGGCCCCATCTCTCGCTGCTGGATCTTAGGTATATCAAAACAACGTAAGACGGTTTAGCTGCTATCATTGGGGTACAGAAGGACACTCTGTCGGAGTTTGGAGGCCGAAACAGATGGATAGGAGGGCCAGGCTCGTGGGAGGGCTTGGGGGATGAGATAGGCCGATTCCTGAAGCTTCAAGATGTGATGCTCAACGATCTGATACTCGAAGCTGAGGTGAGCATGATGAGGTCTATGCCTCTCTCAAGGGATCGATAAACAAAACTGATCAACTGTACTATGCAACGGTCCCCTTCTGAGACGCTTGGGACGGGCCGGTGTTTGTCAGACTTTCCGTTTCTGGTGATTGTAAGCTTGAAGACCCGGGGAGAGGATGTGCTCGATCACTGATCGCCATGGCCATTCACTGACTGGAGCTTTGATGGTATTAGGGGGGTTTGGCTTTTAGTTGCGTTGTAGCTCAGAGAGTCAAAGTAACAGGCATCAATACCACTGCTACCAGACCATCCAGTTATTAGCTCGTAACTACAAACGTCTCCGCGATGCTAAGATCTTCACTCCCGTTGGCGACTCTGGAAAACTTGATCGAGTCATCGGGATAGTTGAGTTTGGTGTCCGGCAAGCTGGCAACGAAGGCGGCCTTCGATTCATGCGTCCGCAAGATCTTTATCTCGTAGCTTACTAATTGCTGCTTGCATTTAGGGAAGGAAAATCTGGAAGCATCGTTAGCAAATTCGACGGTTTCTCTCCTGTGGCTTCGCCTTCAAGCCTTGGTCTTTCACACTACCATTAATCCCATAGCCTCTACCAGCCTACCTAGTACGACCTCAAGCAATGCTCGAGACTCCAGTTAAAGAAGCAGCGTTCGAACACCTCCTTTACGAACTGAGATAATACAACAAAACCCCTACCCCCACAACCACCACCCCTCCAACCCACACCCACCTCAGCAGCCCCTGCATCACTTTCTGCCTAAACAGCTCCTCCACCGCCTTACTATCATTCGCCCTCGGGAACGGCTCATCCGGGACCTCCTTCCCCAAAGCCTCGCACAGCGGCCCCCACCCCTCCTTCACATTATACAACACCAACTTCTCCCTCGGCACGACCTTTCTCAGATAATCCATATGATACCCATATGTCTCCCTGACACACGTCTGATTCCCGTCCCGGAAATACAACTCCCCATACCTGCCCTCCTCCGCCGCTCGGACATACGTCGTGAAGAACCTCAGCGTGGGAAGCCAGTAGAACGCGAAGCCCAAGAAGCCCATTTTGCTGTTCCGGACGACAGGTTCCATACTGCGCCACCAATCGTCCGGATCCCGCGTCGTGCAGATGACCTTGGCATCCGGATACAGTTCCATCAACTCGGCCACGAAATTGATAGGCGGTGAATCGGTGACCGCGACGTATCCTCTGAACTGCTCCCTCAGCGCCTCTTTTACAAATTTTTGATCTCGATCGCTCTTGCAAGGAGTGCGGTACATGATATCAATCCATTTCCTGATATGGCTTTCCTCGCGGAGAGCCAGAGCCTCGCCGCCATGGTAGACGGGCCCGTCGAGGAGACGCTCGAGCGCGAGACCGAAAGAGACGGTGCCGGTGCGGGACATGCCGGCGCCGATGACTTGGATTTGTTTTGAGGGGTTGGTGGGGTGGGAGGGCTGTTGGCCCATTTTTGAGAGACCTTTAATGCGGTAGCGAAATGTGATAGTCTTAGATGCCTGCCGTTGATGGGAATCTCTCTAAAAGCTGGAGGTCAATAATGCCCGTAAAGGAGCATTTGAACATTTCAAAAAGAGAAAATGAATCTATAGTCCTTCAATGGCTATAAGTTGCACCTAGTGAAATAAGACAACTATAACAATTCTGCCAGTAGTAGTCCCAAGTTATAAAGCTACTCGTACATATCTTGTTCCTTACATGTGATAATAACGAAGACGTTTTGAGCACCCATGAATGAATGACTATGACTCCACATTTCCGTGACGTAACGGATGACTAATTCAGTCAGATCACAGTCGAGCTATGTTTACATTAGGCAAATGTCTTTCATTTTTCCTATCATTCTATTTACTTCGGCCCAAACCCATCAGATCAGTAGCTGTAATAAGTGTCTCTTGTTTGATCAATGGACCATTCTCAACACTCAAGTATTTCCGGTATTTCAGATATTACAGAATCTGTTGTCTTGTGCAGAGACAGCCCCATTTGCAAGATCGATGTACACAAGGGCTAGCTTGATTCGATTAGTGAGACAGAATAGAGATCTTGGACAGAAGAGCCGGCTTGCCTTACTAACCGTACCATTGGGCTCCAAAATGAAGCCCGATAGCAATTTTCACGCAACGTTCGAATCAATGAACACCAAGGTTCCAAGCTTCGATCGAGTACTGATCATTGCTTTGCGGTTGCAAATGCATTGGAAGACCTGATCTCTGCGCTCTCGTCGATTCCCTGCGCAAGACAGACTCAGAAAGCGCGGTAGAAGGACGTCTCGCGACTGTCCATTTTGGAAGCGCAGAGATGCACTGAGCAGACTCTGCGTCGCTAGCCCGGCCGCGCTTTCTTCTTCTGGGGCCCTTCTTCTTCCTCGTTGTCGCTAATATCAGCATATAAGGTCTTCGGCTGAGTCTGTTTCCATGCATTGGTAAACATAGGATCCTTCTCCGCTTTCTCGGCGTACTTCAGCAGAGCTTCTCGTGGATCTTCATCACGCATAGAGCTGAGCGGTATGTTGTTCTTAATATGCTGTTCGTCGGGCTGGCTCTTAGCGAACGGAGTTGTCATGGGGATGTGCGGGCGCCTTGGATCACGAGAGCGGCCGGACACTGTCAGACCTATTGTTGGGTGTCGAGAAGCGTAGCTAGTACCAGCTTGGGCTGCACGTAGTCCATCACCGGAAGATATAGCGTCTCCTGATAGCCCCTGGGAAAGATCGGTGGTGAAGTTGGGATCATCGTCGATGTGTCGCCTCTTGGGGGCTTTAGACATGACCATGACGGCGCCACGAGTTGAGGTTTTCGGATCGTATAGCACATGCATTTCTGCGTTCGCGGAGCCTGTAAGTATCTGGTTCAATTTCTCATGCCATAGAAGTGTGACGAGCGGAGATCCATCCGTGACAGGAGTCACAGTCTCCGGCTTCAGCGTAGCAGGATTCAAGATGTGAAGCTCGCCG